GGGTCACCTCGCCCCTAAAATTGCCCCCCGCTTTCGAATTTCCTCTTCTGCTACGACCCTCCTTTCCCATCTTGCCTAACATCTTCGTGAATATTCCCAATTCCCTATCACTTCATTGACATCTCAGTAGCCGCATCATGAAGTGAAGCGCCTTTAGTCTATTTTCAGGTCTCTTTTGAGAGCTAATGGCGAAGGCAGCTGAGGCATTGGGGAAGGGGTACAAGGACAGGTAGGTTTTTGTAACGTGCACCCTTTTAACAGGGTAAGAATCACCCAGCCGCCCTCCCTATCCAGGAACAGAAAATGGATGTGGTCTACCCCCACCCTGCCCGCTCCCAATTACTACTGCCCGAATTTTTTGAGGAAATTCACTAGAATAAGTAAACTTATGAGTAAATTCACTGGAATAAGTGGACTTACGTCTTCATTAACGCTTCCATATGGTCGATCATCGAAGACAGCACCCATAAAGAAAACGAACGAAGAGAAGAAAAGCAGATTAGAAAACATTATATTAAATACGAACAGAACAGTGGCAGTTGAAAGGCTTCGTTTTGTCTGAAATGAGTTCGAGATCTCTTTAGAAGCCGCAGCCACGAGATTAACCAACCTTGAGGAGTAGTACAGCAAGCAGAACCGTGTTCAGTATCACCAAAACCAGAAGACAGAGTTCAGCATAGAAACTTCGCCACGCACGATTGGCCAATGATCTGTAAGTCCACAACTTTATGGAATTTCTTCTTGAGCGGTTAAACACCCTGAGCGTAAGGGTGAGAACTCTGAGATGATTCAGGACAATGACGCGATATTACCGCGGACTACACCCACACTTGACTGTTTCCTGATTAATAAGTAGTAGCCTAGCAATGGCGCGCGGTCCGGGGTTCGAACCTCGGGCCGTCTCTCGCCGAGGCTGAATAAGTCTTGTACACTGCGGGGACGCCACATTGGTACCAAATTCGTTTGAGAAGATAAGTGCACTGAAATGTACATCGGCTGGCCCTCGCAAATCACTGGATAGGCTACATCGCATTCAGTAAGCTGCTACGATCCCTCTATATATAAGGCAGTGTTCAGACTTCGCGACGGCAGCGCTTCGGTCGCGCGTTCGACGCGATCGATGCGCATGCTTTCGACTGCATTGATCGCGTCGAACGCGCGACCGAAGCGCTGCCGTCGCGAAGTCTGAACGCTGCCTAAAGCAGAATGTTGTGTGTTTGTATGCTTGCGTGTTCACCCGAAAATTGGGGACTGTGTGGAAAATCACTTTTGGCGAACGGATCAAGCTTGGGATGGTTGTGGCATGGGACAACATTTACAGAACACCTACAAGGTAACCTAGGCTCCGCCCACAATGGGCGGGGCATCGGCGGAAGTGAACGGTGCCATGGATAAAAATTTTTAAAACGTATCCTGAGCAACCCGAAGGATGGTAATATGCTTGAAGGGCGACAGCGGGAAGCCAGATGAAGTAAGGGAGAGACCTCAGCAAAAGTAAGGGGCAAAAGTTATATTTTTGTCTCAAGACAAATGAGAATAGTAGTGAACATGAGGTCGAAATCGAAAATTTATAACTTATTTGTATTTATTTATTTGTTTATTTACTTATTTACCTGTTATTTATTCTACAACAATCCAAATACACCCATACTACCACTTCAGTTTTCCACTGAGCATCCAGTTCCCACTTCCCACTCCTTGACTTTACGAAAATTTTACAACCGTCCACTAGGGGGGAGGGGGCGGGGGGGGGGGGGGGAGGGGTATATACCAAATGTGAAACGGTAATGTTCTGGAATTGCAGAAAAAATTTTTTTTCTGTGGCTAAGGTTGGAAGGCTGCCGAAGGCGGGCGATCCGACTGGGCCTCAGTAGGAATGCCAGGGACCCACTTCACACGCGGAAGGAGGATCGCCCGCCGAAGGCGGGCGATCCGACTGGTTTTCAGTAAAAGTAGAATGCGTGTCGCATCCCAAAAAGGGGAGATCAGCTGGAAAGGATCGTGAAGAATTCATCCTTTTATCGTTGCAATGCGTCGAGGCAGAAAGCGTGGCATAAGCTCCTTTCCAGCTGCATTTTTTAACAGTGATGATCATTCAGAAATAAATTAAACAGTGGAAGAAAATTACGAATGATATGAGCTCATTCTACACCTTCAGACGCCGGCCCGCTGGACTGATGTCAGCCATAACTCTCTCGCTTCGACATAGGAAATGCAAAATGCACAGGACGTGCTATATGCATGAACGTGCACTCAGGGTTGGCAGTCCCTGTTTGAAATAAGCCATGCATTCCAATTCCATTCAGGATCACAGTGACGTTTGATTGTGATTAGGCCTGCACCAACATTTATGAAGGAAACGGTCTTCCATCCAGACGACTACACTCTGAACGAGCTCGGAAGGCTTGCTTGGCTTGTCTTGGGCAGTAGCCGATCCGTGATGTGCAACATTGCGACGATGAACATGTACGTGCAGTCCTGTTCGCTACAAATGCAGGGGCGTGTCAGTGGGCTGGGTTTGTCGCAGCGCCACCCATAAATGTCTTGATTATTCTACCTCTATATCTCATTTAGGTTTTCTAAATCCCTAATGTGTCATAGAGATGAGAATGTTACGATGGAGTCTGGGACACATGCGACTCGACCGAATCCGCAACGAAACAGTCCGAGACAGGAAGAAGGTCCACCCGTGCCAACTCCCTTGCCGCAGCTCGTCTCCGCTGGTATAGTCACGTTCAGCGGAGACCTCCTGATGCAGTATCGTCCGCTGTTAAGGTCGTCTTCACCGGTAAACGTCCAAAAGGCCGACCTAGAATGCGGTGGAAAATGTACATGACCACTGCTGGCCTGTCCGCAGCCGATTCTATTTACAGGGACCGGTTGGAAAGCTTTGGTCAAAGAAGCGTACCCGACAACAGTTGGACAAGAACGCTAAGAAGAAGAAGAAGATTTCTCATTTATGATCGTCTGATTGGGGATTTATTAATTCGTAAAACGAATAAGACTAAACTCACCTGAACTTTCGTTCATTATTGAGATCGCAGATATGAATGTTGTTATGTGGGCAGCACGCGTGAGAAACGTGAGCCGAAATTCGTTCGGTTCTGAAAAAGATAACACTGGCATTATTCACTCTTTACCGCTCCGATACCCGGAATGCAGGCCCCATTCCCACTGGAATTCTTCCCTAGCGACAGATTCAGTAAAGCTTTGCCCGGGAGCCCTCCGACCCTTTGACAGCAAATATCGCATCAGCTCAGAGGGGAAACACCAGACGTGTTCGCAAACTCAGGGGGAGGGGGACAGACAACTGGCTTCCCGGCCACGTTTTCAACACAATGGGTGACGCTGGATGTTTAGCGCCAGCGCTTGTGAGGCGGACGAAAGTTGGTCCACTGTACTACCCAAAAAATTCAGTTAAAATGTTCCTGGAATTCGAAGAGAGGGATAGTAAAGCGTGAACGGCGCCGGGGAGCTAGTTTCGAGTAGACCAAAGGTGTATTCCGCGGAGATCGTATGGGCGGAGACAGCGCCTTTCTCACTGGTGCTTCTCCCATCCTTTGTAAAAGACAGAAAACAAAAAATGGCTCAGCCGCTGAATGGTTAGCTGCCTGCGCCCATACGATCAGCTTTTGCATATTAATCAAGAAATTTTGCAGAAATACTCACTTTGCTTCATCAGTTTCATTGCCAGAGGACGTTTCGTTGTGCTCCATCTCTACGATGACTGCTTGTCTGCACCTGAACGAATTCACCGTCGCAGTAGAATAGGAATCCTTGTTTTGCTCAAAATCGTGCAGATCTCCCAATTCCGCTGATTTTGCGGATCCCTTGAATGGACTGCCTGACAGCACAGGGTTAACACGTGGTCTGCGCGGGAACGAGGGAATCGTAATTCGCCGCGCTGATGGGCATCGTGTGCGACGTCGCGCCCGCAAATGACGATGGTTCCAGGTCGTAGATGGCGACAACAGGCAATGTAGAACCGAAAATAGTCATAAATGTCTACAGTTTCGTAGCCCACGTGAAATCCGGTGCTCCAATCGACAGGCTAACACGATTAAGAAAACGCCGCGCCCATCGGCGCGCGGCGGAGCGACAAATTACGATTCTCTTGCCCGTCTTCCGGTTTGCTTGCAAAACCTCGGTATATAAAAAAACCATGACTTACAGTGTATTGTTTTGTCTTGGTATCATTCGCATCTTAGCGTCAGCTTTTGTTACGGCTGTTATACAGGGGGGGTGGGCCAAAAAAAGTCATTTTGCTCCATGACTTGTCAAGGCGTTACTTAAGTTAACACTTTATTAAATCTTTGTTTCTATCGCGGACATTCTTTACTACCATATTATAAAGCAGCACTATTAAAAGGTACTCCGCCCCACAGCCTTCATCGAGAGATTCGGCCGCGCGAAAGTGAGTGGGTACCGGAGTTGAGCGAGATCGTTGATTTCTCCGCCACTGTAGACCACCCTGTTGAGCTCCGCCCGAACCGAGTAATTGAGGGGTTTAGTTCAGGACCCCCGCTTAAATACTCTTTCCAGGTACTCAACGTCCTTCCATTCCAAGT